GCTGTGATGTAATAGTAGACATTGTGTATATAAAGTTATGATGTAATAGTAGACATGGTGTATATAAAGCTATGATGTAATACAATACATTGTGCATATAAAGCTATGATGTAATAGTAAACATGGTGTATATAATGCTGTGATGTAATAGTAGACATTGTGTATATAAAGTTATGATGTAATAGTAGACATGGTGTATATAAATCTATGATGTAATACAAGACATGGTGTATATAAAGCTATGATGTAATACAAGACATTGTGTATATAAAGCTATAATGTAATAGTAAACATGGTGTATATAAAGTTATGATGCAATAGTAAACATGGTGTATATAAAGCTGTGATGTAATAGTAGACATGGTGTATATAAAACTATGATGTAATAGTACACATTGTGTATATAAAGCTATGATGTAATAGTAAACATGGTGTATATAAAGCTGTGATGTAATAGTAGACTTGGTGTATATAAAGCTATGATGTAATAGTAGACTTGGTGTATATAAAGCATGGTGTATATAAAGCTGTGATGTAATAGTAGCGTGGTGTATATAAAGCTATGATGTAATAGTAGACATTGTGTATATAAAGCTGTGATGTAATAGTAGCATGGTTTATATAAAGCTGTGATGTAATAGTAGACATTGTGTATATAAAGCTGTGATGTAATAGTAAACATGGTGTATATAAAGCTGTGATGTAATAGTAGACTTGGTGTATAAAAAGCTATGATGTAATAGTAGACTTGGTGTATATAAAGCATGGTGTATATAAAGCTGTGATGTAATAGTAGCGTGGTGTATATAAAGCTATGATGTAATAGTAGACATTGTGTATATAAAGCTATGATGTAATAGTAAACATGGTGTATATAAAGCTATGATGTAATAGTAAACATGGTGTATATAAAGCTGTGATGTAATAGTAGACATGGTGTATATAATGCTGTAATGTAATAGTAGACTTGGTGTATATAAAGCTATGATGTAATAGTAGACATTGTGTATATAAAGCTATGATGTATTAGTAAACATGGTGTATATAAAGCTATGATGTAATAGTAGACATTGTGTATATAAAGCTGTGATGTAATAGTAGACTTGGTGTATATAAAGCTATGATGTAATAGTAGACTTGGTGTATATAATGCTATGATGTAATAGTAGACTTGGTGTATATAAAGCATGGTCTATATAAAGCTGTGATGTATTACTAAACATGGTGTATATAAAGTGTTGATGTATAAGTAAACATGGTGTATATAAACCTCTGATGTAATAGTAGACATTGTGTATATAAAGCTATGATGTATTAGTAAACATGGTGTATATAAACCTGTGATGTAATAGTAGACATTGTGTATATAAACCTGTGATATAACAGTAAACATGGTGTATATGATGCTGTGATGTAATTAGAAGACACTGTGTATATAAAGCTATGATGTAATAGTAAACATGGTATATATAAAGCTGTGATGTAATAGTAGACATTGTGTATATAAAGTTATGATGTAATAGTAGACATGGTGTATATAAAGCTATGATGTAATACAATACATTGTGCATATAAAGCTATGATGTAATAGTAAACATGGTGTATATAATGCTGTGATGTAATAGTAGACATTGTGTATATAAAGTTATGATGTAATAGTAGACATGGTGTATATAAATCTATGATGTAATACAAGACATGGTGTATATAAAGCTATGATG